TCATGCGACGAAGAAGAAAGAAGTTTCTGTATTCACGTATGCCGTTTCAGAATGGACAATTTTGCTGCTCCAAAACCCTTTTTTCCACACATTCGACATATTTTTTTCTGTAGCATGCTCGACAATTTATAATGTATTTCAAGGTCTCATAACCTTGGAGTATCTAAGAAAGTTTTATAGATAATTTAAAGATATTTTTGTTTGTACATTATTGGTTTTAAGGTAAGCGTTATCGAAGACATACTTGTCGAAATTGGATATGAATATTAGCTTTCACAAGCCATCTTCACAAACTCATTGAATCACATTGAATCGTCGTTTCCCCTACTTGCCCCCACCAACGTGACTTTTACACTCCAGTTTTATGCTCCGTGTTGCAGCGGCCGTGCATTCGTGATGTGACATTAAATTAGCTGACATACTGAAGAAAAAGATGAAAAGAAAGTGGGAGGAGAATGAGATTCAAATGGAGGAAAATAGAAGCAAAAAGAAGAAAAATAATAATATAAAAGTTGGTTTGTCCTGAATCCACACAACGAACCATGAATTCTGAAAATTCTTATTTCTCGTTTCAGAAGCCCCTGTTCAGGCGGCGGGGGTAGATATATAATTGTTTCAGTTCACAGTAATTTACGAAAATGCTCTATACGAGTAGAGGTTTGTAGGCACCAGAATTGGGCATTCAGTTTCCCAGCAATACTGCCGCGTATTGCGGATTGCAGAACATCCAGGCGTGATGTACCATTCAGTAAATGTTCAAATTTTGAGAAATTTAACCAATCCCATTCAGAAATGAAGTATCGCGAGCACATATCTCCCTCAAAATTGACTGTGGGTAGTTTTCGAATGCGTAGTTACTTCCTTTAACTGGAGGAGGAAGTTGTGTTTTACAATTGCTTGTTTGCCGTCACGTTTCTATGCTCAGAATTGTGATTAGAACATCAAATCGGCCAGCCAGATGTCAAGTAAAAGAAATTATTAAGTGATTTGCGCGTATGCGTTATTCTTTTTGTAATTTGTGATGCTTACGAAGATAATACTGTGATGATTGAAGGTATGGTGAGAGTGGATTAAGATCTGAAGTACAGAAGGAAAATATTAAGGATGAGAAGTGAAGAGACCACTTGTCGTTTGTCACTGGGGAATTGGTGCCTTTCATCAGCAAAAACAAATGGTCAAAAATGTTATTCACGTCTTCTGATTTGTAAATGATTTTGAAAAACATTTTGTAATATTAACCCCAAAAAGAGTAATTTAAAAAGTGGTTGGTTTCTTACTATTTTTTGATAGTAAGGTCATATTCTTTTGCTTTTTGATGTCCTATCGATATTTTATTTCACATTTCGAAATTGAGTAATTTTTGTCTTGGTATGAAATTTCATACCATGACCAAATGAAGGAATATTGACAGTAAGTATGTTTGAACCGAATGGATGATTATTTACGTTTCTTATGTGCCTAATACTACAGCATTAAGGCATGTTTAGAAAAATACATAAAAACAGTAAATTAAGCAATTCACAATTAGCGCCCAAGTTGATATTTTATTAAGCATGCTTTAGAAAACACAGCAACATTGCACTTGATGTACTGCTCAGTAGTGCAAATCTTACCTTCAACGCATTTTCTCTGTTCACATGTGTCTATCAAGTGCCCTACGTTGACAAATCGCATTTCCTTCTTTATCTGCTTATTGGATTTAGGTCGCATTCCTCGAGGTTCCTGGGTTCTCGGCGTTGAAAGACTGACAATTACGATCCTTCGAATAATGTCAAGAAGACGCATAGATTTATCAATGCGCCTGTTTGAAAACCGTGCATTTACAACTGCGCAATTGAGACGGAAGCGGAGGACAGGGTCGTTCCACATATTGTTTCTGATTCGGATTCTGTACAGACTTCGGGGTCTATCGATTATGTCGACACAACCCGTAGGTTTATTGTATTCATTTACCAAACCAGGTGTTCCAATAGTAATCCTCTCTTTCGTTGCATGGCTTTATCTTCTGCAAACAGATTTCTTGCTCTATGCACCTCCAAATTTGCTGCAATAGTCACTTGACTGTTGTCATGCCATCGGACAAGCGTTATGACATATTCTTGGCAGATAAATCTATGGTGAGAAAATTGTTGCGCCTTCAAATAATTCAGTGATTATTTTTCCAAACTGTCTCTACTCTGATATCTCCAGTAAGTAAAATTGCGTCTCTTTCAAAATTTCCAGTAAGATAATGCTATTAAAAATTGTATATGTACATTCTGTCGTTTTCAGGCAAATATCCGCAACACAATCTCTCTACAACTAGTTCAAAGGGGTCAGCCAGGTTCTCTTATTTCTTTAGACGCATCATAATGATCAAACGTTGTAAGGAAATCTTCTGGAAGCTCAAGCACCAGATTCTGAAGCCATTGAGTTCAAACACCAGACCTAAGCCAATGAGTATGTTGTCTTCGATGAGCATCTCCGAGAAGAACTACCATCGGAATTCGTTAAAATCTTTCGAAACTTCATAGGCTGGCCTTCATAGTACTCCCCTCCCTAACTCACAAATATCCTCCAAATCACTGCCTGCGTCATCTTCATCGCTGAAAACTGCATCGGCAGCTGGTTGCAAAATACACTCAAGCTCGTTTGACTTATCTATACTTTTAGCCAGCACTTCACCTTCATTGAAATTATTTAATATGTTAATTATGGCTTCAGTTTGTTGCTATGTTTCCTCTGCAAAAGTGACAAAAAATTCCTTTATTGGCCAAGGTATGAAATTTTATATCTCGAAAATAAAACATATTAAAAGCCGATGAAGATAATAACGAGTTTTAAAATATTATAACAGTTTGAATTAGTTGTTATAGTAAAGTTTTCAATAATGAATTCGAACAAGAAAATAAAGACTATTATTGTGGGAAAAGTCTTACCAGTGCGTCATCGTGTTGTATGTAAAAATCACCACGTCCTTGTTCAACCTCTAGAATAAAAACTACAAAATGCAAAGACCTTATACTTGATTGGTACATATTACAAACCCTCTACTAACGAAAAACTGTACAAAGAGTACATTCAGAACCTCTGATTTTGCTACTATATTTCTATCGGAGCGTGGTCGATATGAAATTTCATTCCGTGACCACTGCTAAGGCTGCGGAATTTTGTAGATACGTTGGGAGTGAAATTACCAGGAACTGCGAGGAACGTCGATAATTTTTCATCAGACAATAGTGTTCTGGAAAAGAAACGACTCACAAATGACAAAGCTTGTTAGTGGGAGAAAGAATCAACGGCTATTAAAGAGATTGTCATGGTTACCTCTGTCCAGACGAAATCAAATGTTTCGTTACAAATTTCGTCGTTTTTTATTGTAAGTTAGGCTGCAGAGAGGTTGCCGGGCCCAGCCTGAATCGAACCTTGATAGCATCCAACAAGGTTTTACTGAGCTTTCTGTACCTTGCATCTGATGACATTGCGAGCTCTTGGCGTCTAAAATGGAAATCGCTGGATTCTAAGAAATTTGACAATGTCCACACGTTTTCGCACGAGGAGCTACCCAGAAGCTGATCCGATCTTTCGGTGACGCTCCGAACTAACAGGAAGAAGTTGACAATCTACGTCAAGAAACTTTGTACGAAAGAAGTGAGTGTTTGGTCAACTGGGAATAAATTTGCGCGGCTTTTTTTGAATAAATAATCTCCTAGGCGCGACGTTTGAAATGTATAATCCTTTCCTCTGAAATTCTTTCAAATAAGATCAAAAGTGCTTTATTTAAAACAATTTGGCGGTCAATGTGCTAACAACCACTTTTGGGTAAAGGGGAAGTAATTGTAACTGAGCACTTGAATAAAAATTTAAAATCTATCATGAAAAAGCATGACATTCCCCATCTAGGCGACGTTGATTGATTCATTTACGTGGAATTAATTTTGTTACTCCTTGGACCAGAAGTCTGGCATACATGTCCTATAGTCTGAGCTATAAGTCCAAACTTATCCACAAGCAATTTTCATTTTTCTCAACTCAAGGAATAATTTGTCGGCAAGAAATCGAAAGAAATGAGATAGAGGTTCAGAAATCGTTCAAGTCGCTGTTTTACAAGCGTAAATTCTACAATATGCTAAGTTTTGACACATCTCAATTTTGCATGAAATTTAGGTGATTTTAAAATATATTGTCTCAAAACAGGCTCCATCCATTTTTTTGAGTGCATAGTACGTTTATAAAAATAGCGCATATTATATTTTCATTGAATTCTCAATTTTTAAAATTTCGAAAGTTACAATTAACGCGAGAGAGAATGTGCTGTTAGAAGGCGCCGCTAATTCCTTTTGCGAATCAGTACACTTCCGTACGATTCTCGTGATAACTCATCAATTCAAAATGTCTCAGAAAATAGTTTCTCTCGATATCGTTTTATTGTTTCGCCTTTCTCCTTTAATTCCTAAATAACATGTCTAGTAAATGTTTAATAGTATTTTATCGTATATTTTAATCCGCGTTCACGTCACATCGTGTTTTCGTTCTACTTCGGCGCATTTGGTAGTTTTTTCTGGCCATCGACTCGTTTTCTGAAATTGACTACTCTTAAATGCAAATTCAATAAAAATCTGTAAGTGTAAACTTTCATATTTTTTAACGTGTGATATACTTATAAAAATGATTATAAAGCTTTAAAAACATAATTTGTAACCAAATTACAAAGTCAAAATATTAGTGTGTGGCAACAACGTATACACATATGTAATAAACATAGGAATAAATGAACAGAACTGTAGCAGTCATTTTCCAAGTGATTTAAAGGCGGGAAAATACAATGCGTGAAAAGTTATGTTCTACCTCTTTGCGGAAAGGCCAGTGCACGAAACATTTGCCTCGAGATTCAGTGTAGACGTATTCTTCACTCTCTTTCTCTCTCGTGCAGTCTAGACTGTTTCTCTCTAACAATGTATTCACCTTGTTGACGAACTGATTGGTGGTTTTGGATGTTTAGAGGTCGGGACGGTTTCGTCATGCGGCTGCCGTGGCGCCGAACAGCGCTCTGGACGCTGGCCTTTCTGTGCGCCGCGAGCGTGATGCTAACGCGGCGCAATTGGCCCGGCGAGCTGAACCAGCGCCACAGCCCTTTGAGACCCACTCGCTTGCGCGAGAAGACGAAGCAGCTGTCGAGCGGGCACCGCATGGCCCGAAGAGAAGTGGTCGCATGGGCGTTACGTACTTCGATTGCGACCGCCGATGGGGTCTCAAGCGCAGGGCGGACTAGACGCAAAGTCAAGAACAGAAAGGTTATGGATGGTTTTGTGGCTCCGCGTAATGTGTTTTTTAATGAACCAACTGATTATGACGACACGATTTACGAATATTTTGAACATGTTTTAACGGCTGGTCGGTTAGGGGTATCGATGGTACTGGGAATCGCAACGACAAAGAGCAGGCCTTTAGTTCTCATCAAAACCATTAAGATGATTATTGATGCTACGACTTCAGAAGATGCAAGAGATACTCTTATTGTAGTGCTTGTTGAAGAGGACGATAAAGAATATGTAACTCAAGTCTCCAGCCAATTTGAGAAACTGTTTAAATTACAAATAAAGTCTGGCTTACTGGAGGTCATATCTCCCCCCATTCAATTTCACACGAAAATGCGAAAACTGGACACTGATTTCCGAGAAAATGAAGAGAAACTGAGATGGGCTCGAATGAATCTTGTTGTGGCTTATTTAATGATGTATGCACACAGCAAAGGGAAATTTTATGTTTACTTAGGACATGGTGTCGAGGCGCAGAAAGGCTTTATTTCTATCATGAAAACGTATGCAGTTAATCAGATAAATAAAAATGTACCTTGGTTTATATTGGACTTTGGTTATTCTGATTTTGTAGGAAAATTGTTCAGGTGTAACGAGTTATCGTCTCTTTTTCGATTCTTAATTGCATATCATGATCGATGGCCGGCTAAGGAGCTTTTGAATCAATTTATTAGCCTTCAGTTATGCGGATTATCGCAAAATGATTATAAATGTTCGGAACTAAAAGAGAAATTACACTTGAATTATACACATTCTCTATTTTATCAAATGAATCTTTACAAATAAAATAATATTTCAAATGTTATGAAGTTCATTAGATATTTATAATAACTCAAGTTAAAGATGATTGTGAAAGATGATTTTTAAAACATTTGCCTTCAAAAGCAACATTGTGAAATATGTGACATTGCCACAGGCATTTATGTATACGTTTATGTATTGAATACTATTGTTATTATTACCAATATTATTAAAATGATGCAAAGTTCCTTATCTTCCTTATATACTGCTTCTTACTATTTCTCTAAATAGGTACTATGTACGGGTGTTTGATAACTCACTCCCTATTTTTGGATAGTTGTAATTTCTTTATTTATGAGCCAATTTTCTGACAACTTGTTTTGTTAGAAACAGTGCTTCACGAGGTTTAGTTTAACACCTTTTTAAATATCCACCCGAGTACCAGCATTCTCGGTTCATTTTTTAAACGAATCTATGCTGCTCCCGCAGCATGGTTCGTGGAGCATTGGTTAACACATAAGATATTGTTGGTTCTTATTCGTCCATTCTTTGGTTTTCTCTTGTAAACCTCCTTCTCAGCCCCTCCTCCCGAAAAAACTAATGTTGCTACCTGCACATACTTTCTTGCATTATTAGCAAAAGATACGAAATATTGAAATGTTAATTTCTGCGCTACTAACACCTCAGCTATTACTTGAAAACGTCCAATTCAACCAATTCGAACAAAGTGTCTATGATGCATATCTGCATTCATTTCGAAAGTGAGGAAGAGTACTCATTTCTTCCTTTTAAAAATGAAGCAAATAAGAATACAATTGACTGTAACAATATTCACAGCAAATTATACAGAAGCGAACACCGCACTTGTGCCAGAGCAGCTTTGTCAAAACTATATGTAGTTCGTTTGACATATATGTTAAGAAAATATATTTTTATCAATTGTTGGCAAAAACGCATATATTTACATTTGTATTCCTTATGAATCCAAAGTTTTATCCTATAAATGGCTAGATACATTTCATCATTTATTTCCTAGCGAATAGTGAGATTGAAAATAATAAAGTAGCTTTGCCCTTGTCTCTCCCACACAAAAGTTCCTAAAGTCAAGGCAAGACGCCTCGTTATTTGCAATGGATCTCCCTACCAAAATATAAATGGTGACATGGCAGAATGTGGATAAATAAGATGAAATAAATTTATTTGAATGCAAATAGGCATAACCCGGTGGCAGCCAATTTACATAAATAAGATAATATAGCAAACATGCAAATTATATAATAATAATGATAATAAAAATAATAAATAATATAATGTATAATAAATAATAATAATAATAAATAATGATATAAAAACTAAAACATTAAATTACCTTAAGAAAAAGAAACATGTATAACCTACCTCCGCACTGAATGTTTGCTCAATTAAGACCACACTACACTTCACGTCAATTTACTTCACTTCACTTCACTATGACCCTTTAATCACTACCTTCGTTATTTCTTTGTTCTACATTGCCCGACACCTCACTTCACAATATATCACTTATGCTTCGCTCTATAACCTACTATTCTTTGTTAAGTCCCTCATTTACTACATAATATCCTAAATTAATTTCCTGAACTGTTGAATGCTACGAGGAAAGGGTTCATAGGTTTTGCAGGCAATCTAGTCCATTCTGTTATCGTTCGATTTGTGAAAAAAATTTCCCGACATCCGTCCTCGGCGGTCTTAAATTTATTTTGTGTCTAATCTCTCCCTACTGATGTATGTAGAAATAATTAGGCGCCGATTAATTTCTTTCCAAGCTTGATTACCACTATAAGCTTAATACAAAGCGCAGAGTCTTGCTACTGATCGCTTGTTTTCGAGTGAATCTCATCCTGCCATTTTCTTGTCTCTGAAAGTAAATTTTGCTGCCCTACGCCGAATCCTTTCTAACTTTTATGTTGTCCAAATGAATACATACATACATACATACATAATCCGTTTCCCTAGTGAACGGGTTGGTTATTGTTTTACAAATGATGTTCAATGAAGTTAGCTCATTAGTAGTGACATAGGAACTCAAGCTATAACAATGATAGTCATTTTGTCAGCGTCATTTATCATTAACCATTCTCTAAAAATATTTTGAAATGAGGGAGCACATTAGAACTTGGGACATTTTCGAAGTGCCCTTGGTAAATGTTTATCAAAAATCAGACTCCAATGTTTACAAATAACCTGCAATGTTGATGATATTGTTTTCGAGAGCTGACTTTAAAGAACAGATTTCATGAAGGAAAAATCTGTGTTCAATATTGTGTTTGTAGGAACTACCCCAAAAAATGAACTTATGCAGTTTTCGAAAAATCAGGGTTTACAGCAAAAAAGAGACCTGGACCTAAGCGTACTTTACACTATCCGAGGACATAATTGAATTAAAAAAATTGGAGTCATTTTTTGAGTAAATTTTGAAAACGTTGAGGTATTATATAAAGAACTCTCAAAATCAAAACATCTTATTCCAACTCAATAGGGCTTGGGTTCATTTAAATCAATTGTGAAATATCAAATTTAAAGAAAATTGGCTGAATGATTGAGGAGCTAGAAGTGCCCACAGACACACGTTTTGTCGTCGAGGGACTTTTCGGTATCAAGAACATATAGAACATGGATTCTAGCTACACCACGTATTAGAGTAAATCATTTACTATATATAGGAACGCGATTTATCCACTGTTTCATTCCCAGAGCCTGGCAACAAGTGTTTCTCTGCCGAAAATTCGCCTTTCTCCCTCGCACGTTTAAAGTACTTTCTCTTCTTACGATGCAAGGGCGAGAAAGTAATTAGAAGAGGTAATTGTTAATTACCGACGTTTATTCTTCCAATATAGACAAGAAGATCGCGTACACGTGAGAACGTGTACTTGTACGCATGGTATTTACAGTCCGAAAGAGTTTCCTAAAGAATTCACCACACTCTAATTATAATGCAAAAGAAGCCAAATACTTCCAATGTTAATGTAAGAGAATATTCTGATCTCACATCTGGCAGGGAAAATATCCTCACCTTCCCGTTAGTGTATAGGGTAGATCGAATAATCTACGTCCATTGAGAACACTTTGAAATTGAGGCTGAGGGTATTTTGTGCTTTCCATATCGACTGCAACATGAGTGAGAGGCTTCGCACAACTGACTGTATTCCAAGAATACTTGGGTGGTATGGCTTTTTTAAGCACTCAGTGTATATGTGTGCTTACTACAAGTCTTGGTGTAACAGATTAATTCTCCTCCTATTGCTTGCAAAAGTATATTTCTCTATCATTAATGAGGCTTTAGATTAGATGCAATTTATTAGATTAGATTAGATTAGATGCATTAATATTTTAGAAACATACCCATAAACCTGAAAATGTAGAAAAATGAATAATGGGAAAATATGTACAGCAAAAAAATAAGCACAGACATCTTAAACATGTTCAGTTTTTGAGTTAGAGTATTGAGAAAAAAGGAATACTCGTAATTAATTAGACTAATAATAATTATTATTAAGTACTAATACTTAATTAGTCATTAAAACAACTTATACACTTATTTTTAACATTCTGTTTCTTGAAAATGTTATAATTGAAAATTAGTAATCCTACAATTGGTCCTGTGCCTTTAATATTTGACCATGTGATCCCTTGGCACCATCTCGGTGCTTGTATGATTCTCTGGGTGTAGGGATCCAGTTCCTCAATTACACACGGATAGTGAACACCGGTTAATCCAAGAGATTGTGTTAAGGATTAGAGTATACATGCAATACAGTGGGGGTGTTTCGTTTTCACAGAAAAAAGTTTCAAGTTTCGAGAAACTTCATAAGAAATAATTGGAAGCACCTGTACTATCGTGCAATACAGTGTCAAATTCCCGTAATGTACTACATATTAACGATGTGAGAGATATTTTAAAAAATAAACACTTGAGTAACGACGTGAGAAATATTTTAAAAAATATACACGTGTAATTTTTGAAAAATCAAAAGAATACATCGAAATGACGTTTATGTAATGTAATTCAGAGATTTAGCACTAACCGAAGAAAAAACGCAAAATCAAATTTGAAGACTTTTTGTGAAAATCTTATTTTTAACTTTACTCACATTTGACTCAAAATTGCGCAAAAAGCATTAATATTTTCAAAAATGTATTGCATGTCAATTAAAGAACTGTTAAAAATGAATTTTATTTGAAGACAAAATCTAAATCTTCAATAATGTACTAGTTGTACAAGAGGGCTAAAAAAGTTTCCAATTTCGAAAAATGATTTTCCAGTTTCCAATTTCGAATTAACTTGGGCCGGCGGCATTTTTAAGCCTTTTTTCTCTATTTGAAGAAAGTATTTAATCAAACAATTTAATTTTGAACTGTTTTATGTTATAAGGCTGTGTTCGTTTCAAATTCTCAGGGTCTGGATTTTGGCGAGATAGATGACTGATAGACGTTTTGCCGTCAGCCAATATTGCAAGGTATCAGGACACACTCAACGTGAATCCTGAGTTCACAACGTGTTAGAGGAAGTAATTTACTAGGTATAGCCACAGGTTTTATCCTTTTATTGCCCCAAAGTGCACGTTTTGCCTTATGAAAATCACAGTTTTCGGCCTACGGTAATATTTTCTGCAATTTCTGCAGCATTACAATATTTTTCTTTACTTCGAATGTGGAAAAAGAAAGAAATAAACCGGGCACACTGCTTAACAAATAAAATACTCGTATAGCACTGAAAAATATAAAAATTAACGAAATGTGTGTATAAAGAGGGGGATAATTGCACGAGAGGAATGCTCAAGAAAACGAGCGACGATAGGAGCGAGTTTCCTTATATTCCACGAGTGCAATTATACTTATTTATACAGATGTTAGGTTCAATATTTTTTCGTTTTCATTTAAGAATAATTTAAATTTTAAGAAATTCAAGCATCTTTACCATCCCTGACATACATATCATGACAGTATTGCTTTTGAGAAAGATATATTTTAATGGTCTTTGCGTAGTTTTTGTTTCGTGATATATT